AACAGATCATCGCTGGCATCCACAGCAAAAGGAAAACAGCAAATCTGTGTAACCTCCAGAATCAGGTCTACTGTCAACTGCGGTCCCTCCACATTAAAACTGTTCAATAAACATTACATGATATGTTGGAAGCATTTCTAAGTGTTAAAATTTCAGTGATTTACACCAATTTCTACAATTCCACACTTATTAATAAAACTATTTTCTTGAGGCAGTCATAGAAAAGTGTGTAAGAACAAAATTATCTTATCTCTACTCATAAAGGTAAAAAACAACAATTTTAACAGCAGAGATCAAAATATTTTGACTTAACCCTAAATCTGCTAAATGTCATAAATGGACTGTCTGGCTTCATTTTTTGGAACTATCCATCATCAATCTAAGGGATACCAAGATGAAAATTTTAAGATGGTCATTGAATAGTACAGTGTCATGGACTGCATTGCTCTATACTGGTGACAAAGGCTAATCATTTTCAATTCTATAAAAGACAGATGGTCTGTATTTTGCAATAGTTGTCAATCACTGATAATACATAAATGTTATTTACAGGACCTTCCTAGAAGTAAAATGCCAAGGCAACATGCAGATCTTATAAGTCTGACCAGACTCTACAGCTTAATATTTTAAATTTTGAGACTGAAAACCCTTTTACTAATGAAGGACTGCCCCAAACTCCAAGCTGCCCCAAACTGCTGGAAGAGTCTATTTTAGAAATTGAGCAGTGTATAATTTTACAATTTGCAATTTGCACAATTTATTTAAAAGGATATTCAGGCAAAATGTTGACAAAAATATTAAAATGGGTCAAAGACAGAAAAGGCCGGGTTGCATATGTATACAAACTATCATGAGGTTGTGATGTTACTTAAATTTTCTACCACTGTCTTGACCATCGATGTTGAAAATTTAACTTAGTTGGTAATTAGCATCAGACCTGAAATGGAATCCCACAATATGGGACCACATGTCAATGCTGTGAACCACTTATCAAGAAGCTGTGGTAAGTAGTTGCTTTCATTAATTATATCAAAATTTAACTAAGTCGGCAAACAGGAAGTGGATGAGCGACAGACCTGAAATAAAATCCCACGATATGAGACCATGTGTTGATGCTGTATACACAAATATCAAGAGGCTGTGATAAGTAGTTGCCAAGAAAACTGTTACGAAAATTTCCTACCATTGACCATAAATGTAGAAAATTTAACTAAGTCGGCAAACAGGAAGTGGATGAGCGACAGACCTGAAATCGAATCCCACGATATGAGACCATGTGTTGATGCTGTATACCAAATATCAAAAGGCTGTGATAAGTTAATGCTGAGAAAACTGTTACGAAAATTTCTTTCTATTGACCATTAATGTTGATAATTTAACTAAGTCGGCAAACAGGAAGTGGATGAGCGACAGACCTGAAATCACATCCCACGGTATGGGACCATATCTGTTTGCTGTATGCCAAATATCAAGAGGCTGTGATAAGTAGTTGCTGAGAAAACTGTTACGAAAATTTCCTACCATTGAGCTTTAATGTAGAAAATATAACTAAGTCGGCAAACAGGAAGTGGATGAGCTACAGACCTGAAATCGAATCCCACAGTATGGGACCATGTGTTGATGCTATATACCAAATATCAAAAGGCTGTGATCAGTAGTTGCTGAGAAAACTGTTACGAAAATTTCCTGCTATTGACCATTAATGTCCAAAATTTAACTAGGTCGGCAAACAGGAAGTAGATGAGCGACAGACCTGAAATCAAATCCCACAGTATGGGACCATGTGTTGATGCTGTATACCAAATATCAAAAGGCTGTGATAAGTAGTTGCTGAGAAAACTGTTAGAAAATTTCCTGCTATTGACCATTAATGTTGAAAATTTAACTAGGTCAGCAAACAGGAAGTAGATGAGCGACAGACCTGAAATCAAATCCCACGTTATGGGACCATGTGTTGATGCTGTATATCAAATATTAAAAGGCTGTGATAAGCAGTTGCTGAGAAAACTGTTACGAAAATTTCCTGCTATTGACCATTAATGTTGAAAATTTAACTCAGCAAACAGGAAGTAGATGAGCGACAGACCTGAAATCGAATCCCACAGTATGGGACCATGAGTTGATGCTGTATACCAAATAATGCAAGGCTGTGATAAGTAGTTGCTGAGAAAACTGTTACGAAAGTTTTTGCCCTGCCCGCCACCGCCCGCCCGCCGCCCAACATTCACCATACTATAACCCGGATTTGCACCAGTGCAACCCGGCCAAAAATGATATTATGTACTCAAATTACATTAAAATGACATTTATTGAAGTTTCAGCACGAATTTCAGTTTAAATTCTATATATTTTGGGTTTGAGGCGTAAATATATCTATATAGGTTGAACAAAATTTAGACCCGAATAGAATCACGCGGTTCAAGTTAGGAAACCACCATTTTATTCTTCATATGGAGAAAAGTTTTTTGACTGTCTAATATATTCATAATGAATGAAAAAATCAAAACTAAGAAATGATATTTTGCCTGTGTGTCCCTTTGATGAACCCTTGACATGCCAAATTTCATAAATGGACTGGTCCAGCTTCCATTTTTAAAAATTGTCAATTATCAAATTTGTGTGTATCAAGATGAATATTGAAGTTGGTCAGCTAACAATATAAAACTATTGCTTGGACATACAGGCTAGCCTGGCTCTATACTGGTGGCAAAGGCAAATCACTTTCGGGTTTCAGTATGCTTAGGAATTTAGCTTATCAAGAAAAGTTAACCAATACACAATGGGTAATGAATGAGTCAAACCTTTTGCTAAGCGAGTAAAGGAATTCTTTCCTGAGAAGATGTATGAGTGTCAACATTATAATACTGTCTGGTACAGCTAGGTTTGGTATACATTGTTGTGTTTCCTGAAATAAAACAAAGGTTTCATGCGTTTGAATTTGGCCACAAACTTACAAATATTTAAATACTGAGGGTTTCGAGATTCTAAACAACTTCTTACCTGTATGTTTTGATATATAACTGGCATTGTTTCTAAAATAAAACATTGGGGAACAAATGACATAAAATATACATATATACTGATGTCAATATATTACAAAATACTCGAACTTCGAGTGCTGACTACTAAATTCTAGATTCGAAAACAAACCTCTCCCCCTACTGAACAAATTGTATTTAGGTTGGGAAAACATATATAAATATATAAGTCTCAACATTACAACTATATGATTTTTCATTTAATGCCTTTAAGCAAAATAAATCTCAAAATATATGTTTATGTTAAATTACAAAGAATCGAGAATAACTCTTTCTTTTAACTATAATCATACATGTATACGGAGGACTACCTTTGTGAAGACAGTTACTGACATTTGTAGTACAGCCATGAGGCCCTGCGGGGAAACTAGTGACCAGTCCGGTTCATGAAACCCCTTCTGGGCCTCCATATCTGTCTCAATGTCATGTATAGGTAACTCTGTCTCTGGGTTCATCACTTGCAGGGCTTGAGCGACACGATGCCACAGGGTTCCCCAGATGCCTGTTTCTATATAAAGTTGAGCTACAGGTGCCTCCGCCTAGAAACAACACAAACAAAACTTTGATAAACACAATTAATTTATACTTTTAATATGTGATTATCTATTAATTTTTTTTAAATTAATATCTTAAGTATCATCTATAAGGTTACAAATTCTCTAAAGGAGAGCAATTGACTAGTTGTCCTATTAAAAGTTAAGGACCATCAGCTCAAGGATCGTCAAGTCAAAGATCATCAAATTAATCATCATCCACTTACGGATAATCAATTAGTTATCAGAATTTTCTATTATTTTAATTTTTTTGACTGGGCTTTACATTCACTAACACAGTATAGGTCATGGTCAAATGGCAACTTTCCAACTTGGGTGCTCCTCTAGCTGTTATTCCAGGCACAAACAGCATCCGAGTAGAGCCACTAAGCTAGCTGGATAGAAATATTTAAAAGCTGTTACGAATGTCTATAAGCTAATTTCTCTTTAATATTTCAGAATAAATAAAAAAAGGAGTTTACCTACCTGTGTCAACATTTCACACAGCAGTAACATCAGACCATCCATTATACCATAGTCAAACGGACATCGTACACAAATCTGAAATGTCACGAAATAACACATGTTGTTTAACCTAAAATTGAGACAATATATAATTTGGTCTGCATTTAGCAAAGTTGTAACTGTAAAAGTTTGTTTGTACCTCAGGATTAGCTGGGAAAAACCTATAATTACCTTGTTCCAGAATAACTAGATAATCTAGATCACCTATATATATATATATGTGTGTGTGTGTTTATTCAAGTCTAATATCTTTCATACAATTGAATAGCAAATTTTTCGAAACATTTTTAATATTTGTAACTGTTTAATTTAACAAAGGCTTCTTGTCCATTAACAGCTATATAGGAAAAATTTACTACACACTAGATGTAACACAACTGATGAAATGATCTTTTCATTATAAATTTATAAGATGCAGAAATTTCTATGAAGGGTAGGTAGCATTATGAATACCTGTTGTAGATCTGTGAAAACAGCTAGACATGCCTGTAACATCTCCTCTGGCTGGACCTCCACAGATACACCACAATACACCATCTGACTAAACAACAGAGCTGCAGCAGCCTAAAACCATAGAAATATGCATCCATGTTTGTTGGTTTGGTTTGACGGCACATCAACACAACTTAAGTCATATGGTGCCAAAACAGGAAAGATGATTTTGGCTAATCTTGTGTGTTACAAACATAGACCAACACCTGGGGTAAAAACCATTTCACATGCTGGAGCTATGTGATGCATAGACTCCTGTAATTGGAACCAATTTATTTGCCTCTTACTACCATGCAGGGATAAACGTGTCTGCAATACAGATGCCTCAACCCTGAAAGGCAACCCCTCAGCCACAAGGGTTACAGTGTCATGTAATATACCATCAAATAAATGCTGCTGTACCTAATATCAAGCTTTATCATGCTTGATTTGTTTCCGTACTAATTTTCAACATATCACATTATAATTGGTTACCTCACATGTCTAACATTGATTGTCAACAGTGATTTTAACACACTTCCTGTCCTTCCTGTCCTATGTTTAATAGGGAAAAATGTGGGTTGTGTTGAAGAAATAATATATCCCAAACGGTGATTTTATCGCTCAATAAAATCACTGTTTTGGAATTCGGATGCAAGGAATTATATCACAAGGGCGCCATATGTGGGATGGTTACCTCAAATGTCTAAATATAGAACATCAATAGTGATTTTGATGCATAATAAAACACACTTCCTGTCCTTCTATATTCAATATTGAAAATACGGGTCGTGTTGGAATAGAATTTACAGTACGTATGTAGATTATATATGAATTACTTACAGTATGACTAGCTATGGTAGATTCAAGAAATATTGAGACCATTAGACTAGCAGCATCTGTCAAACTGTAAAAATAAAATTACATGAAACAATCTTTAAGTCACAATTGATATCCAGTTAAAAGTCCTCTTTTTATTTTCACTCAAAAGAAAAAATATCAGGATAAATGTTTTACTTTTTAACTTGATTTAATTAAACTAAATCTGGATCAGTCACTTATCTAAACCATCAGTTTCGTAGGCAGGTGAAATTATTTTTCTAACTCAGCCACTTATTTCTATCATTACTTATGTAGGCAGTGACACATTTCTAAATATCATTACTAACAAAGGCTGAAACACAATTTTTTTAAACTTGGCCACTAATCTCTATCATTACTCCTGTAGGAAGTAGAACAATTTTTTTAACTCAGCTACTAATCTATATCATTACTTACGTAGGCAGTAACACAACTTTTTTTAATATTATTACTTATGTAGGCAGTAACACAACTTTTTTTAATACCATTACTTACGTAGGCAGTAACACAATTTTTTTAATATCATAACTTATATTGGCTGTAACACAATTTTTTCAATATCATTACTTACGTAGGCAGCAACACAATTTTTTAAACTCGGCCACTAATCCCTATCATTACTTACGTAGGCGGTAACGTCTGAAGCTGTATGACTATAGTGCTTAGAACATGTATCAACATCTCTATTACAGAGTTTACTTCCATATCTGCCAGCTCTACTTTTCCCATGAGGACCCCCAGCAGAGATTCCATATGTTGTTGTTGGTTGGATATGTAGGAGCAAAATGTTGTAGACACCTGACAACATGCATAGATCACCTGGAAATAATCATCAAAGAGATCATGATTTAAATATACAACCACAAAGTTGGTAAGTTAGTTATAATTACATATTAATTTATACACTGGTGGGTATGTCTTAACAACATAAGAAAATATAATAAGAAAGAGATACAATTATTATTGGTACACTGAGGGGTGTCCCAAAAGCATTGGAAAATATCGCTGATAAGAGATACCTTTAGCATATTTGTTCCATGTTGGGATGTCTCAATATTAAAAAGGAAATTTTACAACTAAGCATATCTGTACATTGAGGGGTTGTCAGAAATATAAAGGGAAGGGGATACCTTGAGAAAATTTGTACACTGAGTGCAGATTTCTCAACAATATTAAGGAAATATTGTAAGTAAACAATACAATGAGCTTATTTGTACATTGATAGGGGATTTCTCAATAGTATCAAAAGAAAAATTATAAAATCTAAAGAATTACCTTGAGCATATTTGTACACTGAGGGGGATGTCTCAAAAGTATTAGGAAATCATCTGTCAGCTTCTCATTGCCTTTACTAGCCAACTTATCTCCAACATAGTGTGCAATCTGCAATATAGACATTGATATTATTGTTTAAATGCTGTGCACTTAATATACAAGTTTCTAACCTGTATGTTATGTTGTTACGTTCATTTACTCCTAATTCAAGAAATCACAAGCCAATAAATTTTGTTCACAAACAAGGTTAAGATAAGGTTAAGATAATCTTCTTAGGATGCCTAAAATTTCATATTTTAGAAATTGTCAAATATGTGCAAATTCAAAGAAAGGTGCAACTGTAATGTGCTATACATGTGCTTCTTTGTACTTTCAAAACCAGAAAATGCTTAAACTGCATTGTTAGTTTGGGTTTTAAAGGTCAAAGGGCAACATTCCAGCTTTACGGTGGAATAAAATCTAAGGTGCCCCTCTCTGCATTATTTTAGCCATAAGGGTGCACATGAGTAGAACTACAAACATTCTGTAAACTAGCTGGATAGCTTCATCATATGAAAGTATGTAAAGTCCCTGGCAGGATTCAAGTGAACAGTAATTAGGGACAAGTGGTTTGAAGTTAAAGACCTTAACCAGTAGGCCACCATCATCCCTCAATAATTGCATCATCAGGTGAATTCTATAAGATAACAAGAGCTCAGCAGGTGGTGTTAACATTCATCTTATAAGGGCAACAAGTATAAATAACCAATTTTTATCAACATTTAAGTCAAAATGGGACATTTCTCCTAAAAATGTTTCCTTAAGTATAATACCCCAAGTCTTAGAATTATGCATTGTCATTAAAACTGAGTATTCCAAGTCTCATATCGATAGCTTTCAAAGTTTTGGAACCATTCAAGTTAACAAGCAACTTGACAAAAATTCTAAGTAAGGGAGACAACTTAAAAATTTAACTTTCAGAGTAATGCTCCTTGTCTAAAAAATGTGTGTCTTTTCATGATAAACAAGTAATCAGAGTTTCATGTTGACACCTTTAAAAGTTTTAAAATTATTCTACTTCATAGGCAATTTTCACAAAAAAAAATTCTACTTAAAAAGGGGCATAATTCTAAATATACAGTTTTCAGAATTATGTCTCATTGTCAATAGTAACTGTGCCTTGTCATGATGAACAAGTATTTTAAGTTCCACATCAACACCTTTCATAATTTTAAAATCATTTTATTTAATAGACAACTTTGCAAAAAAATTCTTATTTAAAAACAAGAAGGCCATGATGGCCCTGGATCGCTCACCTGACACAACCGCATCCAAGCAATGTCTTAAACAAGCATCATGGCCAAGTTTGATGTCACCTCTAGTGTGTTATAAAGATTTTTCCATATTTGGGCAATGTGACCTAATTTTTGACCCATATTCAAACTTGACCTAGAAATCATCAAAACATCCTTCCTGACCAATTTCCAGGAAATTTGGATCAAAACTGCAGCCACTAGAGTGTTAAAAAGATTTTTTTATTTTTAGCTCCTGTGACCTAGTTTTTGACCTGATATGACCAATCTTAGCACTTGACCCAGAAATCATCAAAACAACCTTCCTGACAAATTTCCAGAATATTTGAATCAAAACTGCAGCCACTAGAGTGTTAACAAGCTTTTTATATTTTTAGCTCCTGTGACCTAGTTTTTGACCTGAGATGACCCATCTTCCAACTTAACCTAGAAATCATCAAAACAACCTTCCTGACAAATTTCCAGAATATTTGAATCAATACTGCAGCCACTAGAATGTTTACAAGCTTTTTCTATTTTTAGCTCCTGTGACCTCATTTTTGACCGAAGATAACCCATCTTCGAACTTGACCTAGAAATCATCAAAACAACCTTCCTGACAAATTTCCAGAATATTTGAATCAATACTGCAGCCACTAGAGTGTTTACAAGCTTTTTCTATTTTTAGCTCCTGTGACCTAGTTTTTGACCGGAGATAACACATCTTCCAACTTGACCTAGAAATCATCAAAACAACCTTCCTGACAAATTTCCAGAATATTTGGATGAAAACTGCTGCCCCTAATGTGTTAAAAAGCTTTTCTATTTTTAGCTCCTGTGACCTAGTTTTTGACCAGAGATGACCCATCTTCAACCTTGACTTAGAAATCATCAAAACAACCTTCTTGATAACATTTCCAGAATATTTAGATGAAAACTGCAGCCACTAGAGTGTTAACAAGCTTTTTCTATTTTTAGCTCCTGTGACCTAGTTTTTGACCGGAGATGACCCATCTTCGAACTTGACCTAGATATCATCAAAACAACCTTCCTGACAAATTTCCAGAATATTTGGATGAAAACTGCAGCAACTAAAGTGTTAACAAGCTTTCTCTATTTTTAGCTCCTGTGACCTAGTTTTTCACCTGAGATGACCCATCTTCCAACTTAACTTAGATATCATCTAAACAACCTTCCTGACAAATTTCCAGAATATTTGGATCAAAACTGCAGCCACTAGAGTGTTATCAAGCTTTTTCTATTTTTAGCTCCTGTGACCTAGTTTTTGACCGAAGATGACCCATCTTCGAACTTGACCTAGATATCATGAAAACAACCTTCCTGACAAATTTCCAGAATATTTGGATGAAAACTGCAGCCACTAGAGTGTTCACAAGCTTTTTCTATTTTTATCTCCAGTGACCTAGTTTTTGACCGGACATGACCCATCTTCAATCTTGACCTAGATATCATCAAAACAAACTTCCTGACAAATTTCCAGAATATTTGGATGAAAACTGCAGCCTCTAGAGTGTTAACAAGCTTTTTCTATTTTTAGCTCATGTGACCTAGTTTTTGACCGGAGATGACCCATCTTCGAACTTGACCTAGAAATCATCAAAACAACCTTCCTGACAAATTTCCAGAACATTTGGATGAAAACTGCAGCCACTAGAGTGTTAACAAGCTTTTTCTATTTTTAGCTCCTGTGACCTAGTTTTTGACTGGAGATGACCCATCTTCGAACTTGAACTTGATATCATTAAAACAACCTTCCTGACAAATTTCAAGAATATTTGGATGAAAACTGCAGCCCCTAGAGTGTTTACATGCTTTTTCTATTTTTAGCTCCTGTGACCTAGTTTTTGACCCGAGATAACCCATCTTGGAACTCGATCTGTATTTCATTGATACAAACATTCTGACAAAGTTTGATGATGATCCAATCAAAACTGTGACTGCTAGACTGTTAACAACCCAATGGTTAGAGTGTTAACAAGCTTTTTCTATTTTTAGCTCCTGTCACCTTTGATCGGAGATGACCCATCTTCGAACTTGACCTAGATATCATTAAAACAACCTTCCTGATAAATTTCTAGATGAAAACTGCAGCCTCTAGAGTGTTAACAAGCTTTTTCTATTTTTAGCTCCTGTGACCTAGTTTTTGACCTGAGATAACCCATCTTCGAACTTGATCTGTATTTTATTGAGACAAACATTCTGACAAAGTTTGATGATGATCCAATCAAAACTGTGACTGCTAGAATGTTAACAACCCAATTGTTGAGGACGAACGACGCATGACGACGCACGCTGGACATAGCCCCATCACTATACCTCACCTTGACCACTTCCTGGTCAGGTGAGCTAAAAAAGAACATAACTATGAAAATACAGCTTTCAGAATTACTCCCCTTGTCTTTCAACTGCACATTCTAATGATAATCAAGTATTATAAGTTTCATGTTGTTAACTTTTAAAATGTTTGAATAATGGGCTACATTAAAGGTTTTGCACAACAACTGGGATGGCAACAATGCAGCGATCATAATAGTTTGACTTCCTTCAAAACAGTTGACCTAAAAATGGCTTGTTGACAAAATACAGCTAAAAATGCATATTACAATTTTCTGTCTATAGTAATAAAGGTGTAATGAAAATGCATAGAATGTGTTGTGTTATATATGCCAGAAACAATGAAATCCTACACAGTTTTCTACAGTGCTATGTGTATCTAAATTACAACAAGTGGTACAACATTGCGTCAGGTTTTACCCTATATCCATGTTCATGTTTTTTCTGTAAAGCAAATACCAAACAATTTCAAATTTTTTACATTAAATTTGTGCAATCAGTGCACAATCCTAAACAAGTTTGTACTCAATTCTATAACTCTGGCTCATACAATAGTGAACTATATAACAGTGAACTATAAAAGCCATGCCAGGAAAAAATAATAAGTCAGATTATGCTATAACTATAGATGATAATGTTTTATGGGTTTTGTATTTTTTTACTGTGTTTTACATCACACCAACACAGTATAGGTCATATCATGATATGGTGACTTTCCAGCTTTACTGGTGGAGGAAGACCTCAAGTGCACCTCTGTGCATTTTTTTCAGGCACAGAACCTGTGTGTTATTTTTTTTTCCAGGCACAAATGAGCACCTTAGTAGAAACACCGATGTTTCATAAGCTATCAGGAGATATTGTAAAAATACTTCTAAACTGGGTGATCATGATATTATAAATTATCTGGAGGCATTCCATTTCCATAAATAACAAAAATGAAATCTACAGAACAAAGTTTTCATTACAAGAGAAGGAAATTTGAACATTGTATCCAAATAATAGCTATACATGTTCACAGAATAAAATATAACTCTAACCTTTCTCCTGCCATCAGCTCCTGTGTCCATCTCTAGTGGTATATTTAACATGGTGGCGAGACAGGACAGACTCAGCTGTGTAAGGTTCTCATGACGATCTACCGCCAACTCTTCATTACCTTCTGCTAATTCTGTGAGAAATTAATAAACATAAAAATTTTTTTAGTAAAATATTATAACCAGACCCATCTTAAATAAGGCAGAGATATCATAGAAACCATATTATTTTATGGGATGGCAGCTGAAACATATTATCAACAGGTTGAAATCATTCATACATATTATAGTGTGGAAATTGAACCATAAACCTCCTATCTCACCAAATGACACTGAATTTAATCTGGCAGTGACTAAGATATCCTGTGTATCCTAAGCATTGGTCAATTTTCATTGGATAGGAAAATGTCATGTGACCCCCACAATGCCTTTTTAGTGTATTCTGCATCAGAAAGATGATAGAGTAACATTTACCTGTAAGTCTATGTAGAACTGTTGTGTCAGGCAAGGTTGCGGCCATTAGAGAATCTAGAGCCGCTGTATGTTTGTTTGCTACCATCATAAAATACTGGTCAGCTAGTTTCATCTTGTCTCTCTCCATGGCTTCACATGTATATATGGCACACTGTAATACAATAAAATGTCATCAAAGTTGACACAAGTGGTAATAATGTCTAACTATAAATCCTCATATGTCATGTTCCATACATGCTATGTTACTCAGAGTGTTTTGGATAAGACTTTAAAGGCGGCCTTCAGCCTTTCTAAAGGTTAAATACATTGTTTTTAAATAAACCGTTTCATATAATTGTCAAATCAAAAGAATTAAGGTGGAAAATAAAACATGTCGACGATAAAATACATAAACAATAAGGAAACCTCCGATATCTCTAATCTACTGGTCTGCTCTCTATATTTAAAATAGTAAAGCTGACAATTTGTTTCCCTATCTTCTATATATTTTTGATCGAACATCACTTAGGCATTACAAATAGCCCTCGGGATGCTTTTTGAAAAAGATTTAAGTCTCACCAATATGGACTGTTCTCTCAGTCTAAGATCTTCATCTACCTGCTGATTCATTAACTTTGGCAACAATGACATAAACATCCCCATAGCTTCCAAAAACTCATTGGCACTAAAACAGAAACAGACTATACATGCTTCGACACATTTTAAAGTCTGTTTCATAAAATATACTCAATAATGAACATTTACTATCCTCAAATTAATATGACACTCGATAGAAACTGATCTTGTTCATTCTGTAAGCTTACTGCATGCATGGGTAGCTGCTCACATGAATAATTTTGTTGTTGTGGAAAAAAATCTTTAAATCTACTGAAATATATAAAACAGTAAGAAAACGTTTTTTAGTTGGATTTTTCGTGACACCCACACAGTATAAGTCATATGGTGACTTTCCAGCTTTACAAGGAGGAAGACCTCAGGTGCATCTCTGTGCATTATTTCAGGCAATAATTGGGCACCTGAGTATAACCACTGACATTAAATGCTAGCTGGATAGCTTTCTAACATGAAAGAATCCGAAGATGCACAGCTTGAACTTACTGTGGTGAGTGTCAAGTGGCTTGAAGTTTACAACCTTAACCACTCAACCACGGACGCCCCAATTAAAACAGCTTGAACTTACTGTGGTGAGTGTCAAGTGGCTTGAAGTTTACAACCTTAACCACTCAACCACGGACGCCCCAATTAAAACAGCTTGAACTTACTGTGGTGAGTGTCAAGTGGCTTGAAGTTTACAACCTTAACCACTCAACCACGGACGCCCCAATTAAAACAGCTTGAACTTACTGTGGTGAGTGTCAAGTGGCTTGAAGTTTACAACCTTAACCACTCAACCATTGACGCCCCAATTAAGAAATAGTAAGTCAAAGCCAGTAAATCAATGCATAATCCAGTCAAACAAATCTTCACACTAAGTATAGTTAATTACCAAAGTTTACAAACAGATGTGACATACATTTGTTTCTCTATGTTTTCTGTCCAGCTTATCTCACTGGCAAAGTACGCATTCAATGCTATAACAAGATCTACCAGAATCTGTTGGCACCATGGTTGCTGTGAAATCAAATAAAATACCAATTACAGAACAGGCAGAAAGTATGTATTTAAGTTTCAATTACAAGCATATCAATATCTCATACCTATTACTGATCAAATAAAGTTCTGTACTGTACTTTAAACATCATAAAAAAAAATTGTTTCATGTTTGTTTAAAATCCAAGTCTTAAGTAATCCACGTTTGTGAAAAATGCACGCCTCCAGTTTAGCCAAAATATTTCAAGAAAATTAAACTAAGGAAAAATGCACTAAGATTTCAAGAAAAAGTAAAAAGATTTAAGCTTAAAGTCATAATCATGTTATGTGCATTTAGGACTGATTTTACAGATACTGATTTATCACCATATTTCTACTGCATTACTAATGCAGTATGGGCTGAAGAAGTACTATAGCTTATTTTGAACACCTTTTTTTGGTAATTTCTGTAGAGGTGTAAATTAATTTCTTTGATCACATTACAGTATTTTATTTTTAAATACAATTTTTAAAATATTCATAAAAACTAGCTTGAATCTGGAGGCATGCTGCTTTAAGAATACAAGCAAAACTGAACATTATATAAACAAGTAATAAATATTCCATTAAGAAGAACACTTAGAATAATTAGATCATCAAACCATTTTATTCTTACATAAGGTTGAACACATTTCTAGAGTTAAAAGTAACAAAACATACCTGTTTAACTTTTGATTTATCCATGATATCTGCTAACAACTTCAGTGACATCATTGGCAAGTTTAATGCTTTGATTGCATTTACGATTAAATCTACATCACTGAAAAAAAAAATAACACAAAAATTAAAATCACAATTTCATTTAGTTTAGTTTTAACATATTTATTTTTGGCACAATTGTGAAGTGAGGGAAGCTTGATATTATCAATATATTCTAATATCAATAGAAACAAATTTTCTGATTAAATATAAACTGTTCAAATCAAACTAATATAACTTTTTAGTCCATCACAACGAACATTTCTAATACCTTTCCTAATTATTTCTTAGACATGCACTGAATCTTAACTTACCATTTTAATGTAACAAGGTTTGTCACCACACGCAGGACTGTCCGCAGCCTGGCTGCTCCCTCTAACATTCCATCCAGAACTTGTGCTGAGCTGTGCTCGATTCTTTGATTAAGTTTGGCCAGGAATTTTTTATCGGTCAAAAGTTTGAGAGCATATTCTGGTTCCCCGTCCTGATCCGTTACTTCAATCAAGCCCTGCCATTCATCATCACTGTCAACTTCCTGTTCAATATAAAAATCATCATAAAAATTGACAATTTTCATATATTTTTCGTATTTTATACATTACACATTAAATTCTTTGATAAAGAATTGAACAATTTGAAGAAACTGAGTCTAGCAATAATCTTTTCTTGGCCAGCATTATACATTAATGTCTTAAAAGTAAAGAAAAACTAATTTTTCAGCTTTAAAGGGACTTCACTGAGGTTTTTTGACATGACAGAATAGAAAATATTTTTGCAAGATTTGTGTACAATTTGATGGAGGTCTTGAGAAATAACTTGTCTGCAAATTTTCAGATTGTTCTCTTACCCTGTTTTTCCAGAATAATTCATTTTTGTTGTGCAAAATGAAGCAAAAATGAAAAACATTGCAACACTTTTCACTTAAATTGGGTTAAGAATTGCACAAAAAAATCGATATCCAATTTAATTCTGAGTAATTTCTTTAATATATTTTTTTTTCAGATTTTTCCATACAAGAGCTTCAATTGATCTATGTAAGAATTTCAAATTTTGTGATTTTAGACTTTTTGATGTCAGTGGAGCTTCTTTAAACATGAACAGAATTTAAAAGTTTTAGCTAAACCTATCCTGGGAGAGATGGTCAAAGTGTCTGACTCCCCAACTAGGGATAATGGATTCAAGTCGTACTGGCATCACAATCACATTTCACAATCACAAACCAGTACTGCTATCACAATCATGTTTCCTAATCACAAACCAGTAACGCTTACAACAGACTTGTGACCTGATTCTAAATATCTTAAATACACTATGTCTTGTCCATCTGGACAAAACCATTTAACATTTATAGGGAAAATTTCCAAAAAAACATTGAATTGCTGAAAAGCAAACAATGCTAATCATAATAACACAACACAGATGTGCTGGCAGATCTTGGTCTATACACTGGTTGCATGGATAGAATCTGTTGCTGCGATCAGGATTCATGTTAAATAAGCCCTGACATTTCATCCCGATTGAGCATTTTATTTTCCTTATTTCATTTGGGCACCTTTAATCAAATCAAATCAATAGCGCTTTGATTTTCTGCTGGGTTCCATATTAAAGTAATTTGACCATATATCATGCCAATTAATCAGATGCAAGACTTCCATCAGTAATGACCCAATTTCTTTTTTTTTCATACTTGAAATATTCAAAACAGCAGCAGATTGCTTATTATTAACATTTCTTTTGCATTGTGTACAAAATAATTTCAGGAATCATGCATATTGCACTCTTCTAAATGAATTACCCATTATTCACAAGCATATAAAGAACATTGCATTTTTGTTTGAGGAAAAATGTGTTCATGTCTCTGAATGCTTGAAACAATAATAACTATCTTTTACCACCAGTGTAGAGCCAGGCCAGTCTATTCATGCAGTATCTATTCTGACTTCTGCTAAATTTTAAAATTTGAAGCCTGAATCCTATAGGAACAATAGGTACAAAGATCTGGAGAAAAGGTGATCTCTCAGAAGCATTAATCATGATCTCTTGGAAGCATTTATCACAACAAAACTGGATAAGTTACTAACAATAAGCAGGATACTGGTTACGGTGATCCTGAAACTAGGATTCCTTACCTTACATACTAATTATCGATAATGGACTCGCCCTGCTTTTAACTTAGAATGATGCATTTGACGTTAAAAGAATTGCCGTATCAAATCTACTTAAAAGTAGCCAATCAAATTCAGTATGGTCCGTACATATGTACATGCAGGCTTTGCATGCTTGCCAGGCTCTATACTGGTAACATAAAGTCAAATTATTGCCACTAACATTCAAAGAAAGTATGTCTAAAAAAACAAACAAACAAAAAAATAACGTTTTCTTGTCAAAATAAAAATAAAAGAGTAAAAATAAAATGAAGCAGTAAAAAAGAGTAAATTCTCTAGCCACACAAGTACCATTTTGTTAAAACAGACAAAAAAAGCCCAAAATATACAACCCAGAAGCAAAACTAAACAATCCTGCCTTCCTAAGAAAATACTGTAGTGACTTCAACATCATTATTGACTAAGGGTCAATTCATTTCCACAAAAATTTTCGTCAGTCACTATGGACTCACTGCATTTGAAGAATGTCATTAAATCAAATTTCTTGACCACACAAACAAAATTATGTTCAGAAATTACAATTTTCTCTTACCATTTCTTGAAGTATTCAAATTTTATCGTTGAGGATATTTTTTAAACATAAATGTACCATACTTTATTGTAGATTGTAGACAGTACAGAGCAAACAATCATCAGGCATATAGCAACATTCTAAGATACAGCACACAGGGGTAATCACATCCAAATAAAAGGTACACATGCCTTATATATAACAATAAGCAGAGCTCTCATTAGCATTTACTTCTTTCGGTTTAAGGGGGGAAAAAACCACTATTTTAATGGGGCAATCCCCCCGGGCCCATATTCGCCCTTAATTTTACCAAATGAGTGCCCTGATAGGTAATGGTATCAGACTTGTTTTCCTCAGTGCATCAGTACTTTTTCTGTTAATCTATTTATCTGTAGATTTATGATATATCTGTAGATTTAAGATATATCTTTAGATTTATAAATCTTTAGATTTACATTGTATATACAAGAACATGTGTAAAGTAATAGAGTAAACCAATGGTGCCAGACTTTTTGGTCCTATACAAACTATATTGATATAAAATATCTTGGTCATCACAATGTTCAAGCAGTATATAAACAAAGTTAAATTAACAGGACTGGCTAATATAAACTTTTTTTACAAAAATGGGTTTTATAGAAAAATGTCTGCATTGGTAATTGTGATGTAGGATTAACTCTCTCAGACTCTGGCATTTGACTTTGTTAATGTCTTACATTAGCCATGTGAATAAAGTCCAGACATCATGTAATATACCCAAACTAGCCACACCCTAGGCTGTTGAATGCTATATTTTGTTATAAAAATCCCTAATACTAATAATGGACACTTCCAAATTCAAACCAGGGCAAGTCAATTACATAAATATAGCAGAGTAAGGATTATATTCACATTAGAAATGGCCTGAGGTCTAGTCACGCAAAAATAAGTCAACAGACAGACAGAGGTCGGGACACAAAACATGTTAGTACAGGAGCTACACAACCCACACTGGTCCATGCAAAATGTTAATTACAGATAATAATATGTTTATGTACATACATTATGTATATGTTGCACAATATGAAAGTTAGTACACATATATCTGCCACATCTTATATTACTACATGCAAGATTTAGAGATATATTAAAGGGTTTTTACCTTGGAATCGCCCTATAAATAGAGGATAGTACAAAATACACATCAACTAGTTTAAAGCCTGTGTACCGTTAAAAATAATTCATTCACCAGCACAACAATCAGTGTCAAATTTTAATTCTTCACAAAAGCATTTTAACAAAAAAAAGTTATCTATACGCCAAATTGTTTGCAAAAGTCCTTTCACACATAAAGAATTTGTTAAACCTATGCAAAATTTAGAATAGCCACTTCTCAAGTGAAGTTCTTTTTTTCTCCCACTTTATTTTTTTTTAAAGAGAAGCAATTGCTTGTATCTAATTTTATAGACTTAATAAAGTCTATAAATATTTTTGTCTCCGTAATTTCAAAAAGAGGACCTGTATCCTTTATGAGTCAGCTGTGTTAAGAAAAGTACAATATTACCTGCATATTACCAGTATATAACCAAAATATAACCAGTATATAAACAAAATATTACCAGTATATTGCCAGCATATAACCAGTATATAAATAGTATATAACCAGTATATTGCCAGTATATAACCAGTATATTGCCAGTAAATAACCAGTATATTACCAGTATATTGCCAGCATATAACTAGTATATAACTAGTATATAACTAGTATATTACCAGTATGTTGCCTGTATATTACCAGTATATTACCAGTATATTACCAGTATATTACCAGCATATTACCAGTATATTACCAGTATATTACCAGTATATTACCAGCATATTACCAGCATATTACCAGTATATTACCAGTATATTACCAGTATATTACCAGTATATTACCAGCATATTACCAGTATATTACCAGTATATTACCAGCATATTACCTGTATATTACCAGTATATTACCAGTATATTACCAGCATATTACCTGTATATTACCAGTATATTACCAGTATATTACCAGCATATTACCAGTATATTACCAGTATATTACCAGTATATTACCAGCATATTACCTGTATATTACCAGTATATTACCAGTATATGACCAGTAAATGACCAGCATACTACCAGTGTATTACCAGTAAATGACCAGCATATTACCAGTACAGTATGACTGACTGACCACACATAAGTGAAGTCTAACCATAGTCATATACAGTGAGCTACACAATTTTGTTCAATTGACACTGGAATCCCTTATATTTCTAACGGTCAGTTCCAAAATCAAAATGTCAAGTCCATTTTACAAATCTAGTGGTGTATAATGACTGTATAAATTTTTTTCAACAGTTGTTTAATTTCTTTGTTATAAAAAGGTGAGATTTCAATCAAACCCAAAACTGTCTTGAAACCAATTCTAAAAGATTTTTTAAAAAGTCAGTCTAATATTTAGTTACCAACCTTCAAAAATTCATTTAAAAATACTCCCCCGCCGCTAATCAAGTATCAAAGAATTAAGCAGAATGGTAGTTTCTAACATCAAGTTATCTCAAAAACTTATCAGGAATAACTGCAGGTTTGTACCACCAGTTTATAGCCTCGAAAGGCCTGCCAAATCATGCTGTATTTATACGAGGCTCAATTAAAGTTTTTTTCATTACTTTTCCCTATCATTAACAATAGACTATTCCAATTACAAAGCAGGACAAAGTTCATTATGCAAATGTAAGGGGGTAAGAGTTAGATATTGAAAATACTAAAACCTACCTCTCCATCCAGTTTCACATTTTCAATATTTTTAGTGTTCTGTTTGTCGGAAGATTTGCGAATTGTACGTCGCCCTTCGACCTCAATACTAGGATACTCTTTCTCGTAGTCTTTGGTGATCCTGTCCGTCCGTGGCGTAGGATCTGTATTCTAAAACAATTCAAGCAATTTGTTTATAACATAAAACATCACCATGAATAAAACTCATCTATTTCAATCCCAGCAAAAATCAAAAATATTGAAAACTATGGATGCTGTATAACATTGTTTTGTCACAGCTAAAACTTTTTAATAACTTTCACCCTAACCCATTAACTCAGTCAGACTGCTTGTGAGCAAAATATTAAATCATTTGCTTTGTCAGTTTTCCCAGAATAATAATTATCATTGTGAAAAATTAGCTAAATTTGAAAAGAGTTGCAATGCCTTTCACTCAAACCAGGCTTAAATTTCTAAATGACCTTTTGTATATCCTTCAGTTTTGAGTGTCCCAACTAATCTATGTTAAAAAACAACAAATTTTATGTTTTAAGACTTTTGAGCCTCTGTGGAGATCCTTTAATTTCAGTTGTAAACTTTTTTGTGTTTTTTTTACAATAGATTTCTAATATAGTTTTATATATAAATATACAGATAAACCTAAGAAATACATTTTCAATAAACTTAGGAAATAGAGCATTATACTGTTACAGTAAAGTTTATCATAAATAAAAGAACAATTTACTACTACCTGGGTTACTGATATCCCAATTACTGCTAATTACATAGTTTACATTATTTATTTCAATACTTTACACAGCATGCTTTATTTTTCAAACAATAAAAATTTGAAACAATATTTTAAACTACATGTACTTTCCATTTCAAAGCCACACAAACAAAGTTCAAGAAGTAAAGTTATAAAAATAAACTCAGATATCTTTTATTTTACCTACCACTTTGTCAGAACGACACTGAAAGGCCATATAGTAACTTTGTAGATTTAATTTGGTGGAAAATACCAGAAAATCTCCTCACAATGTCATAGATAAGAACCAACAGCCATCTGTAAGCTAGCTGGATTAAAGAATTTCTTCCCCCTTTTTTTGCTGGGTTTTACATTGCACTGACACAGTATAGGTCATATGGCGACTTCCCAGCTTTATTGGTGGAGGACCCCTCTGTACATTATTTCAAGCATAAACAGGCATCTGATTAAAAACATCAAAGTTCCAGTTACCTAGCTGGATAGCTTTCCCTCATGTAGAATTGGACAACACTTGTGCAGGCTCAACCTACAACATTGAGAGGCAAGTGGTTTTAAGTCAAAGACCTTAACCTAACTCGGCCATCGATGCCCCTTCCCATAAAGTTTCAAATTCAAAGCAATGAGAAATTAGAAATCTCAAGTAAGCAACCTTTACCACTTGGCACAAAAGACCATTCCTTCAAAATAACACCTCAATAAAGAAAAATTGAGAAAGCATTCATATAATATACTTCAATATGCTTCAATATGATTCATTCATTATAGATTTACAAACACACACAAACACATGCACATCTAAATAATCATTACCCTTAAACAATATAGTGCTATTTGATCTAGCATTTCCTGTAAACTTTGTAAGATTTTGGTTTCCAAGTCATATTTAACTAAGTTTTTTTCATGATTATTTATAACTATGTTCTAAAGAGGAACAAACATCTATGATTAAAAGTCTTAATAATTTGTAATGTTTGTCAAAACAAAACTTTTACAGGAAATGGGTGAATATAAAAGTCAGGTGAGTCATCTCTGAGCTGTTTATACTGAGGTTTAAGCCAGAATATTCCTCTACCTTTCAACAAAAATAGAACTTATAATTTGGTTAAATGATTTCATAAAGGCCTTTCACTTAAATAAGCAAATGTTATCTTGCCCAGAAAAGTAGAAAGATTTAACAAAAGTACGGATGCAATATATGTAAAATTTATAAACATATTGATATGGCAACTTCATGTTGTCTTAAGGACAAAGGATATGTCACTATATCTTTTACCCCTAATTTCCTTGACAAAGAGAAAAAAAATACGGCAACAACAAAAACACCTCAATTTCAGGGGCAGATAACTCAAAAAGTAAGATGGTGACTCCCTAAGTTTTTTTCATCAATTTGTTTCAACCACATTCTCTTTAATCATGTAAAGCTTGCGAAATTTCTCTGCACTAGTTTTAATTTTCCATTTCTGAATTTATAAAAAAAAATACTTAAAAGTCCAATTAGAGGATTTCTACCTTCAAACCTCTTATATATACAGCTCTAAAATCCTCCTGCTATAAACATAATTATATCCACTATACACTACACACATGCACTAGCTACATTATAATATACAAAATAAATAGTCCATGACAAAAGCAACATAATGCATTTGCGACCAGCATGGATCCAGACCAGCCTGCGCAACCACGCAGTCTGATCAGGATCCATGCTGTTTGCTTAAAACCCTATAACCAGTAGAGAAACTGATAGCGAACAGCATGGATCCTGTTCAGACTGCGCAGATGCGCAGGCTGGTCTAGATCCATGCTGGTCGCAAACGCATTATGTTGGTTTTGTCATGGCGCTGCTCAAATAAATAGTGCAGGTTCTATATTACCTGTAGCCTTTGCTAAACAGACATAAAAAAAATGAAAACAAAATCTAACTGTTAATTCATGCTTTTAATTATATGTTTTACTATGCAAGCAAATATGTTAGTAATTAACAATTGTTAAAATTGTATAAAGCTATATTCAGCAGTCTACCTTTAATGAAAAATATAACGTTGGTAAATTTTCCATGATATATAGGTGTATGGACTAAATAACCCCTAAACCTACAAATTATAATAGTTGAATAATTTTGGTTTTAGAAAGTTTGTTTTTTGGTTAAAGGACCTTTCTTTCTGTTATTACAAAGCAAATTTTTGCTTTAACTAAGATAAGATCATAAGAATATGAAAACATTTTGATGGACTGGTACAGTTGTTAAAATTTCTATAATATTTCTCCAATCTATAGCTTTATACAACTGAACCCTTAACCAGCTGAATTTCTAAAATAGACTGGACCCGATTCCATTTTTGGAACAATCAATTATCGTTTATGGGGATATCAAAAATTTGTTCAAAGATTCTTTGCTCAAGGGAGTGTGACGGATGTTGCACTTTTTCATTATACCTCATGCACAGACTCAATCAAATAGAGTCTGCAATTTTCATGTAATTTTCCGGTTTTTAATGCTTCTGAGGGATCACATTTTTCCAGATTTCTAAACTGGTGGCACAGTCTAATCATTTCTAGTTCCAGCAGGTTAAGGGTTAAAATGTACAAATGTCATTTTCAATAACTATTTTATCAAAATTTAAACTATATCTAACTGTTCATGCTGTCAAATATTATAGACTTTTATAATAACAAGACATATCAAGGACAACAACTGCAAATCAACTTAATGAAGGGCAATAACTGAAAATTAACTTAATGAAGGGCAAAAACTGAAAATCCACTTAATGAAGGGCAATAACTGAAAATCAATTTAATGAAGGGCAATAACTCAAAAAATCAACTTAATGAAGGGCAATAACTGAAAATCATCTTAGTAGAGCATCAAAATAATATCATGAACAAATACTCAAAAGTTATTTTCACATTTCTCAAACGTATAAATAACTTTTTACAAAATTGAAACCCAAGTACACTGTAGATAAAAAAAAGTATCATTTCACTTTATTAAGAATTAAATCATAATTATCTTTGTAGCAATAACAATATCGAAATAGAAACCTAACAAATCTTAAATCAGAAAAGAGTCTCGTTTGATCGTGCAGATGAACTGACAGACTTAGTGGTACAAGTCATGCAGTATTACCACTTGCCCATTAAGGTTTTACTTGTTAAGTTGTTGCATTTAAGGTATTATAGTGCACTAATAAGCAAGAATATAAATAGCAACTTTCTAGAAAATATTAGTAATCTGACTATTAGTAAGTTATATTGTACTGTTTACCTCTTCTGTTGATAGCTTTAATATGGAAACAAATCTTACACTTAACTAATATGTAAAGGAATATCCACAAATAAAAAGTTTTCTTTTTCTTTTCTTTTTTTTCTTTTTTTCGGTAGGGTTATTTAGTCACTGCAAAATCTCCAGTTTTACTGGATAAGGTAGACCTCACAGGCCCCTGTACACTTCTTCAAGCACTTGAACCACCCACCTTTGTAAATCTAGCTGAACATCCTCCTGACATGTATGAATCCAAAGTTCAGTGCCTATTTGGAAATCTACATCAGTAAAGGGCAAGGGATCTAAAGTCAGCATCCTTAGCTATTTAGTCATATGGGTCCTTATTAAGGTGCCCTTATTAAGAATTCATTTATTGTTAATGGGAGCTAATTCTGCCTAAATCAGATTAACTAATTTTTTTCTAGGTATTTAACATTATCTACAATTTTGCTCAGTACAATTATATTTTAAACTCTTTACCTTTAAATAGGCAAAAAGTCATGTATATTTGGCTAAACAGACTTAGCTCCTAAAATGTTTTAAAACAAGTTTGACCATTAAAAATTCACTTTAAGAGGTAAACTTTTCAATTTGGTAGATAAAAATCTCGATAAATTTATTCCTGAATTGAGAATATTTTAAAGATAAAGAAATCCCAGTTTAGGAGGAAAAAATCTCAGCTTACGAGATTATTAGTGCAGCTTTAGATGGAAAATAAAATATAAAATATCAAACATTAATATACAGCATACAATGTGAGACACAGCAACCAAGCATCATATCTGTCGTGGTTATCAAATCACATTAAATGAGCCGCGTCATGACAAAACCAACATAGTGCATTTGCGACCAGCATGGATCCAGACTAGCCTGCGCATCCGCGCAGTCTGATCAGGATCCATGCTGTTCGCTTACCAACCCTATTACAAGTAGATAAACTGATAGCGAACAGCATTGATCCTGATCACACTGTGCGGATGCGCAGGCTGGTCTGGATCCATGCTGGTCGCAAACGCACTATGTTAGTTTTGTCATGACATGGCTCGAGTAGTTTTAAGTCAGGAAGACATTTTAAAATACGGCATGAAGAAATCAAAGTCAGAACTGGCAATCTATTGATATTAGACAAAAAAAAATCAGTTGTAATTTATTTACAATTAGGGTAAGGAATTATTACCTTGCTTAGACCGGTGTTCTCCCAGTCCTTGGTATGTTCTCTCGGAGGGTGCACGGGGACTTTCAGCTCCTGCTTCTCCCCTCCCTCGTCTGCCTTCAACTTTGGACCCCACGCTTCTTTAGATTCAGACTCCACTTTTTTCTGTGGTTGGGTTCCATCACCACCACCTGGTGGCTGTAAAATTCAAAACAAAGTCAAAATAAGTATGTGTAAAGAAGAAAATATTTTTAATTTAATATCTGACCTGTTTCATTTGTTATCGAAATTCTCCAGATGTTTCCTAGTTTATATTGGTGACAAAAATTGTTGAGATGTTAAAACAAGAGGGCGATGATGGCCCTGAAGTCGCTCACCTGTATATAGGCCCCCCGGAGCGAGCCAGTTTAAACCCCAGGGCTTTTATTTGAACAAACTTGGTAGACACCCATTAGAAGATGTTTCATGCTTAATATCTAAACTAGCTATTCGGGTTTTTTCGAAGAAGATTTTAAGTTTTTGCAATACACATATAAGGAAAATCAATGTCCCCTGGGGCGGGGCCAATTTTGACCCCAGGGCTGTTATTTGAACAAACTTAATGGTAGACACCCATTAGAAGATGTTTCATCTTAAATATCATAGCTCTAGCTCTTTTGGTTCTTTAAAAGAAGATTTTTTAAGTTTTTACTATATACATATAGGAAAAATCAATGACCCCCTGAGGGGCCAATTTTGACCATAGGGCTTTTTTTTAACAAACTTGGTAGACACTCACTAGAAGATGTTTCATGCCAAATATCTAAGCTCTAGCTCTTTGGGTTATTTAGAAGAAGATAATTAAAGTTTTTTCTTTTGGTTGCCATGGCAACCAGAGTTCTAAATGGAATTGATTTCTTTGAACAATTTTTAAAGGTGACCACCAAAGGAACATTCCCGTGAAGTTTGGTTGAAATTGGCTTAGTGTGACGGACGCCGAACGAAAAGCGATCACAAAAGCTCACCCTGTCACAAAGTGACAGGTGAGCTAAAAAGTGTGCTAAGAGTCTTAGAAAATCACTCTGTAAAAATTCTGTACATCTGAAATGACCTTTGAAAAGGTTATCTAAAATTATCAAAATGCAATCATTTTTATCCAATTTTGCACATTTTCGGTCAAGAAAAAAAATTAGAACAGAAATTACCACTTCTGTTATAGTATACAGAAAAACTTCTGTACAAAATTCTTAATCATAAAAAAAAATTTCAGTATAAAACCCATAAAAAATGAAACTATGACTTCATATATTCACTAATTCTAAAAATAAATTAACATGGCAGTGTCTTGTTCGCCCTTTACTTGACTTACCTGTACATTAGTTTGACCTTGACCTTTCTTTGATGCCTCATCTTCCATGGCTTTTTTCCGAGCTTTAGCAAGAATTTTAGACGTGCCTTTAGGGTGGGCCTTCTCCTTGGCCTGTTCATCTTTCATGCGCACCATAGATGCTGTAAGTGGTTGGGTGAACGGACTTGGTAAGTTGGCATCTTCTTCTCTCACTGAAAATGAAAATCAACAACCTAAGCATTCAAACTTTAACCTACTGATTTTTTATGGATATGCTGAGCTTCCATATTTGGAATTTTCCAATTTTTCACTTTTTCAGACATGAAAATAAAAAGGCTTGAAGCTGGTCAGCCAACAGTATCATGCTTGGTCGGACTGCATCCAAGTGCATATTTTAGGTGGATATAGGTTACCGTATAAGTACTTTTTTCTGCGGGAACTTTATTTCTGCTATTTCTGCGGTTTATAACGACACCGCAGATTTAACAAGAGCTGTCCGTAAGACAGCGCGCTCGACTTTTTTATTGCTTGCCAATAAAAAAAGTTTTTGCAGTAAAAGGCAATACAAGAATCTCTGTATTTTTAAAGTGAACAATGGCCATGAGCATTAAGATATTTAGTGAAGAATTATTTTACTGAATTGTGTGATACCCTTGAACACTGCAGCAAAGTTTGAAATGTTTAAGTCAAAAGAGGGCTGGTAAGAAAGAAAAAAAAACTGAGTTGAGCCTTAAATAAATTTAATAGTATTAAACCCACTTTGAGAGAATAAGGTATTTTTACGTCACTCAGAACACCTTGGTAAATGACATAATAACATAATTTTTCAAGAAATCTATGCCAAGGAAGCAGTATATATGATATATGAAATATGCATATACTACTGATTTTAATTTCAAGTACAAAAAAAGAAAAATAACTAGTTGTTTGATACCCTTGAATATTACAGCAATGTTTATATGACATAATTTATGGTAAAGTGAACAAGTGGATAGGAATGAATTTTTTTAGATTTTTTAAGTTTTTTAGTGCTTGCCTATAATACAAAACATTGACAGTTAAGGGCCATAATTCAAATAAAATCTTTGACAGAATTACCTTCTCCTGGACATGTTTGGGAATCATGATTGTAAACAAGTATTCCAACTTTCAAATTAATATCTCAAACAGTTCAGTCAAAAAGTGGACTGGTACTAAAAACTTAACCAAGATTCTAAGTCGATAAAAGGCCTTAATTTTTAAAACAAAATCCTTGACAGAGTTACCTTCTCTTGCGTACAGATGGGGGTAATGATGTGAAATAGCATTAAAAGTTTCAAAGCAATATCTCAAAGGGTTAAGGCAATAAGTGGATTTTACCCATATTCAATGTATTTTCTAAGTCAAAAAGGGGCATAATTCTGTCAAAAACCTTGACAGAGTTATGTCCTCTTGTCTGTTGATGAAGGTCGTGATGGTAAACAAGTATGGTCAGTTTCAAAGCAATACCTCCAATGGTTTTGAAATAAAGTGAGGTGGTACAAAAAACTTAACCAAGCTCAATACACTTTCTAAGTCAAAAAAGGGCCATAATTCTGTCAAAAACCTTGACAGAGTTATGTACTCTTGTCTGTAGATGGAGGTTATGATGGTGAACAAGTATGGTAAGTTTCAAAGCCATACTTGTAATACTTCTGAAATAAAGTGGGGTGGTACGAAAAACTTAACCAAGGTGTGACGCCAACGCCGACGCCGACGCCGGGGCGAGTAGGATAGCTCCCCTTTTCATAGAAAAGTCGAGCTAAAAACCGCAGAAAATTAAGCCTTTCGCGATGTCTACATGTATGTCGGAATATGTCAACTACATGTATTGTATAATTACATTACCATGTACCGTTATCAGCTTTTGTAGATGGGAATAATTTTTCTTTATGTATCCGTCATGAATAAAATATTAAAAAAAATTACTTTTCTTGTTCTTTTTGTTTAAAAAAATATCATGTTTGATATTTTCGCTCACCCTAAGCTTGATTTATTTTAAAAATAAAACTATTATAGTTTGACGGGTGCAATAAACATACCCTTTTGTATTTGTACAATATATTGTGTCTAAGTGCGATATTACCATTGTTTATATTTCACACTTCATATCACATGCAGTATTACAATTTAATTGTTGTCATTGCATGTTGTTGGTTTTTGTTGATTAAATTTTTGTTTATTGCGTTCATTGAACGCCGCCTTTCCTTGTTGATCTTGTTTATCATATTTTATATACCGATACATTGTGATCACGATTAACACACATTATAAGTCGTCTGCATGTTTACCGGAAGTAATGTACATGTTACATCAACATATCTTGAAATGTTGTCTGTTTGTATCGGTTAAGTTTGTAAAAAAATATCAAATTAAAACGCAGAAATAAAAAACATCAATGCGAGAATGATGACACCGCAGAAATAAGATACGCAGAAATTTAAAACCCCTTATTTTATACGAAACGCAGAATTTTAAGCCCGCAGAAATAAGTACTTATACGGTATTTGTTTTCTGTTATAGTATTCTAAGGTTTACATAAGACTGTTGCAAGCGTAAATTCTGTAGAATGAATTAAAAGATATTCTGATATGAATTATGTTAAGAGAAAAAATTCAAACTCATTAATCAATTAATTTTTGTTCAGTAAGTTTTTTGGCATGTTTGCTGAATTTTAAAATTGCACCAACATTCAAAAGGTCACCATGGCAATTGTCCCACATTAAACATGACGACCTACGGTGCTCCTCCATGTAACATTGTAGGAAAATGAGTTGACTTGAGTAGAACCATCAACCCTTTCAAAAGCTAAACAGATAACTTTTTCACTTTAAAAAAATCCAGCATATCTGGCGGTAATGGACAAATGCCTATAGAGGTAACTTCTTGAACAGCATTAAAGGCACATTCTGGCTCAGAAACCAAGATAATTTTAATTCTTTAGAAAGAACAAATAGGAGTTCAATAACATTTTTAAATAATGCTTTTAAAGCATGTTAGAGGCTTATTACCTGAAGAAAGAAGCACTTTAGGGAAACTATTTGTTATAAAAACTGCACAATGTAAACAAAATAGTAATTTGACTTCCATACAAAATACTAAAAATTAAATTAGCTTAACTTGTTGCCAAAAAGCAACAGAAGCAAAAGATGGTTCCGGCAATTGGCCAAGGAGTTATTCTTTGGAATCTTTTACTGGATACCAGAAAAAAAAGCTTTAGAAAAAAGTGAAAATAAAATCATTTCTGGGGCATAATGGGCTTTTAAAAGACGTACCTTTGACTAAATCAGCAATAAATGGATGATGAAGTAGTTCAGGCCAGGCCAATCTCTGTCTTGGGTTCTTCGTCAATACTCCTTGCAGGAAGTCCTTAAACATTGGACTCATATTTTTAGGCCACTTGACCGGGTCCTTAATGATCAGACTGACCAGCTGAAATATACTGTTAGTGTAGAATGGTGGTGTACCCGTGAACAGCTCGTATAATATACACCCAAGAGCCCTGAAAAGTATAAAAAGAAAACAGTTACTAAAAATTTGCGTCATTAATTTCTACTCTAAAACCACATCAGATATGTGTCACTTGTTTCTTTAGCAGTATTGTAAAATAGTATGTTTGCTGGGTTTTTGTTGTTGATGCTGAACTTTAGGTCACAAAGACAAAATTACATGGTGACTTTTCAGCAAATATTTTTCATTTGACACTTGACCTTGAGCATTGTGTTTTATGGTCATTTGTCTATTGCAACTGATTCAGAAATAATGTGAGATTAGTCAGGCTGTTATTGTTACTTACTGGTTGGCTGTATCAAGGAAAGCTGTTTAGGTCAACTGACTGATATAAAATATGCGTCGGAATCATAAAAACCAGACAATGAATGCAGGAATGCTTTCTTACAATAAAACAAAATTCAAATATTGTGAGAGGAATAAATCCAAGAGCCGTGAGGGGCAAAAAATCAAAGCCTTCAACCTGAGGTCCTTTACCAGCTGACCATCAAGTTAAATATTTCTTACCAAAGATCTGCTGTATGGTCATACGGCTTCTCTTCCACCAGTTCTGGTGACATGTATAAAGGTGTACCCTGTAAAAGAAACCATAAAAGCATTTCCTATGAAAGTGATTAAAGTAATACCGTATTAAGAAATTAAATAGTGATTATTATATATAAGAATTGAACCAATAAACTCAAATAAAATAATTTCGGGTGATATAATTTATTAATTTCTTTTACAGAAGAGGAAAAACACTGATGTATGCTTATGAATTGTTTCTCACAAACTTCGGACTCAAAGTGCTGAGCTGCAAGTCTTTGAAATAATCATAATAGAACTTATGTTAAAACAGAGAAATAAAATGCCATACAAAACCATACGATTTCCAGTGTCATGATCACGATAAGTTTTTCATGAAAAAACACCATACAATTCCTGCTTTAAGCCACAAACAGCCTAGTAAAGCAGTAATTTACAAGTTGAGACTCAAAACTTTGGAGGCAAAAGTGATTAGCCTTTGCCAAAAGTATAGAGCCAGGCCAGACTGCAAATCAGCAAATCACTACCTTTTTAACTATTCCAGACAAGCTGACGCCGGAGTTAGGGCACTACCCATTTGTAAGCAAGCTTACCGTATAGATGGTTTTTTCTGCGGGCTCCAAATTCTGCGGTTTTTCCAAATTTTGGCATGTTTTTTTTTCTGTGGACTTTATTTCTGCGGCACATTCTTTGGACAAAACGTGATTTAATTTCTGCGACTTTCCTTATCTAAGTGACATTTCTCTAGTTTATTTTCATGTACACATTCGCATTTGTTTATCGTCGTCACCAAAAAACTGTACAGTAATTACAAACAATTATATTGTTTGCTTGCTTGAAATGACGTGTGAAAAATATACCCCGGTAGTATCTTTAATTGAATACCGTAAATCAGATGACACTTAAAGTATTCGACGATTATTTAGCAGTATAAGGGTTGAAATGGTTTGAATGATTTAGTGATAAACAAACCTTTAGCGTATCGGCAAACACTATAAATTACATGCTGTTTAAATCTTTTTATTCTTAAGTTAAAATAATTAAGTACATCCTTACAAACAAACACAGAATACATACTTAGCAGACAACAGTTTTATTCAACTTGAAAACCCACTAACCGTTATAATCCGTTAGTCGTTATTACTTTTAAAGTTTAGATGAAACAGGTCATAATGCAGTGGCATATAGTACCAGGTTAAAAAACAAAAACATGCAAAAATATTCTGCGGTTTTTATTTCTGCGGTGCTGAAACTGACCGCAGAAAACGCAGAAATAAAGTCACCGCAGAAAAAACCACTTATACGGTATTAGCTTCCTCATAAATAAATCTCGAAAGTCCTTAAAATTCAAACCCATAGCAGTGAGGGATGTTGTGTCTTATATATTCTATATATGGAGTGTTGACTGCAAAACTGCAGTAACATATATAAAATAAAGAAGGACTTACAACAGTTTTGCAGTCAGCCTTTGATATATGTTCAATAAAGCTATAGTAATACATTCTATAATCTTACCTTAATGGACGTCAAAACCAGAGTGTTGAAGCTCATGGCCCTGGCAAAGCCAAAGTCACACAGTTTAACAATGCCACCTTTACCCAGCAGAATATTTTGAGGTTTCATGTCACGATGTAAGATTCTGTGAGAGTGAAGATAATATAAAGCTGACACAAGCTGAGCTGCTATTTGCTGAACCTGAAAACAAGAATGTTATTGGTCAGCTTAACCACTAACCTGCTGGAAACTAAAGTGTTCAGCCTTTGCCACCAGTACAAAGCCTGGCCTGCCTGCAATCAGTGCACACTGGCCAACTTGAAATTCTTATTCTGATATTCCTAAATTTGATAATGATCAGTTCCAAAAATTGAAGCTTGCCAAGTCCATTTATGAAACTCAGCAGGGTAATGGTTAAAATAGTATTTTCTAAATTTTGATTGGCCATTAAGCTCCCTCACATGAATAAATTCAATATCCATAGCAGAAAATTTGATCACAATGAGATATTTAGGTATTGAGCTCTTAAAAAAGAAGATAAAAATCATATGTCTGAATTGTTATGGAGTATTTTTACACAAGCTGTCAAAAGGGCAATTAGAACTGATGCTTACTTTGATATATTAAACATCCCTTTATAAAGATAACAGCAGCAGTAATAGAAGTATCAAATTTAAAAATGAAATTGTGTTTCTCTATCGATATTTTATGCATTTTATCAATGATTATGAGTATTAAACTAGTCAAATTGTAGAAAAACACCGTTTCATTACCCAATTATGAAGAAAACATGTTCAAGGTAAATTATGTCATTTAAAAAACAAATACACAATACCAGGCTCTGTTACTTAACCCATTGCTTCATGAGCATTTTGTGAAAAATGGCTGTTTTCATTGAAAAGTCTCCCGTTACAAGTTCAAATTGCTATAATACTATAAAAACTGCTTCAACACTAATCAAACTTGGCACAAATGTTGACTGGACCATTGTCCTTGCAACAACATGCTCAGGCTTAAATTTTCTGTTACCATGGCAACGAGGGGACATCTCAAAATTGCCAAAAATCACTATTTTGCGTTGATTTTTTCCATCAAAATTGATTTCAAAGTGCTGCAACTTCTCAATGGATTGAGATAGAGTCAAATGCTTTTCAGCGTTGGTTACACGTTACCTTATGATCAATCTGGGGTCATTTACAGCCTCTCACAAGTCCAAAATTTTCTTGGCGATGAGGGGGACTCCGCCCCCCTTCAAACCCCCCCAAACAGAAGGGGGCACATCCCCCTTCTGGCAACCCCCTGATGTATCTTTTGGTTGGGGGGCCGCGCCGAAAAAAGGGTCACTTTTTTTAACAACATTTCTCAAACAAAAACAAGTGTTTGGGGCCTAAATAAGGCATTTTTTCATCATTTGAGACAACAAAAAGGGGGGGGGGGGTGAAAAAGGCGTTAAAAGGCGTGTATATGAAGTAATGGGTTAACAGAAAATGATGAAAATACTTGAAATTACCCTAAATCGCGTTTTTTTCATGTTTAAAACATGGCCTGTCATATAAATTTGAAGAAAAATTGTTGTTTTGTAGATTTTTTTATTTTTTTCATTAACCCATTGCTTCATGAGCATTTTGTGAAAAATGGCTGTTTTCATTGAAAAGTCTCCCGTTACAAGTTCAAATTGCTATAATACTATAAAAACTGCTTCAACACTAATCAAACTTGGCACAAATGTTGACTGGACCATTGTCCTTGCAACAACATGCTCAGGCTTAAATTTTCTGTTACCATGGCAACGAGGGGACATCTCAAAATTGCCAAAAATCACTATTTTGCGTTGATTTTTTCCATCAAAATTGATTTCAAAGTGCTGCAACTTCTCAATGGATTGAGATAGAGTCAAATGCTTTTCAGCGTTGGTTACACGTTACCTTATGATCAATCTGGGGGTTTA